ATAACTATAACTCTTAAACTAAATAAAATAATTATAATATTATCTATATTCTAAATTATTTAACTAAACTTAAAATATTCAATTACATTATACACAAAATTAAATTATATTTAACCAATACTTTATATAATATAATAGATGTCTTAACTAAACAAAGTACTAGAAAAACTAAATTAAAATTTAATTTTGATTATTTTTATTTACCTTTTTTTTTTTTTTTTTTTAAATATTAAGGTGAGTACTTGCGACCCAGAATTTTATTGATAGTACATTCAGCTAATGGTTGCATTACAACCACAGGGGGCAACCATAGAAAGAGTATACAACTAGCCACTCATACAACTTTAGTCATTGTCTAATTTAAGTAGTCTGTCCGAAGGTTCTACACTAGCTGTCATACCTGAAACCTGCTTGTAGGTTCTCTATTTAACCACTCTGTTCCCATATCCACTTACCTACCTACACCTACCAAGATGCTCTGGTCGATACTAGTTCAAATATGCCATGATCACTAAGTCTTTAAAATGGTTCACTCATATGGGGAACCTTTGACCTTATACTAAACCTTCCAGAATTTTCTGTATCTCATTCTTATAGCTAACCTGGTATCACTATGACCAAGACCAACACTGGCAGTCAGGGCGTACCATTAAACTGCTATGCCCTTGTAGAATTTACTCCAATCCCAGTACTGACTTCACAATATATCTCTACTACTTTGGTATTTAATTCAAGTTTCATCAAGCTCCCAAACCAGATAGCTCAGAAAGGCAGGTTGTAACCATATACCTTTGGTTTACATGTTTGCTGGCATGTAACCTTTTTCTCTGGAATCTAAAAATTCCAGTGGCCTGGTTAGTTCTATTCAGCCCCTCCTCAAAGGCCAGCTCTTTGCCCAATTTCACAAGTTCTAGCTCTGTTTCATAGGTCTAGTCTTTACAGTAGCACTGTCGAAAGTTTGGGTTACTTCTCTACTCGAGTCTTCCAAGTAGGCTTCTATCCTCCTACCTGGTTCCCATGATTTACACAGCCTAAGGACTTATTTTGGGTTTATACCACCTGGTACTGGTTTGTGTTCCTTCATACAACATTGCACAAATGTCTAGACCTTCTAGTCAGGCTAGTATGACATGAGTTACAGATATCCTATCCCAACTAATCATGGAAGACAGTTAGTCATAACGCAAAAAGAATTGCAAATTTTTACCATTACTGAGATTTGAACTCTAGACCTGCCACTTGGAGGTTGACAACCTATTCACTTCACTAGGTCGTCACACCCCTTTAAATCTTTAAACTTACTATTACTTAACTAAAAAAAATCTTAACAAGTTATATTTCAATTAAGCAAACTAATACATTATTAGAAAACTTAATTTTATTATACTTACAATATTTGAAACTAACTTTATTTATACCTTTAATATATTTAAAATTATTGATAAACTTGATGATAGCCTTTTCTTCTAGCTATATTTATGCATTTTTGTTAACTTTTCTTTATCTGTTTACTTATTCAATTTATATTATTCGCTCTTATGATTTTGTTAACTTTCTTTATCTAGTTACTTATTTAATTAACACTACTTTTTATCTTTTTAATTATATTTTATTTTTTATTTAATTTAATTTATTTTTGTTTTGTTTTCTTATAATAATGTAATTAATTTTTGATAATATAAATAGTTAGTAAAATCTATAAGTAGCTTACTAGTATATACTAGAGTAATAAACATTATTTAGAAATTTTCAACTAATTTAGGTGAGCCTTAACTATTCTAGTAGGTTTAAGTTGCAGATAAATATATTTAAGCTCTTATTCTTGCATGTAATATTTTTATTACTTAGAGTTATAGTTTTATAGTTAGCAGTTTAACAGTTAATTCTGATTGCAAGTATTGGTCTCAACCATAGCATATATAAACTTTTTTTTTGTATTCAGTAACTTCATATAGTTACTATTTAATAAATATGAATAAAGATAAGAGCAAAGTTTCACCTTAATACCAAAAAAAAAGAATATTATAAACATAATACAAAAAAAAATTAATATAAATTTTTTGTTATAAAGAACAATATTATTTTAATGCATTAATCTAATTGCATATTATTGAAATACAATATTTAATAATTTCAAATTAAATAAAAAAATAAAAAAATAAAATTGAGATTATTCATTAAACAATATTATCAAATCAAACTTTTTAGTACAAGACCATGATAAAATAACTGTAGATAAAAAAATTTTCATTATTTTGAATTTTTATACATATTTATTGTCTTTACATAATTTTTTATTAATACAAAAGTAATAAGATACAACTTGGTTTCTTTGAATTTCCTAACTACTTTAACTGCTTCATACTTTATATTATCAATATACATTTGAAATATTATGTTAATTCTATATTTTATCTTTTATAACCCACTTTCTTGTGATATGTACATACTTTCTTCTGATTTTACTCTTGAATATGACTTCACTTGATGATTTCTTTTTGCTAAAAGTAGTAAGTTAAAACCCAATGATTACAATAAATCATAGTAAGCATCATTGAATAATAAATAGGCTGTATAAAATGTACAATCATAACTGTCCGTCTGCATTATGTGTAGCTTTGGACTGTAAATTTAACTCCGAATACGCATCTTATGTATTGCTGTTGCATCCAATGGCTACACTTTGTATTCAAACCACTCTGCCCCTCATAACTTTGCGATACTGCAATTTCGCACATGATTCTTGCGTGAGGTCTTCCCTATACAATATAATTAATTTACGTTAAAACTAAGGAAAATTTCTGAATAGGACAGAACCAACTGATTTGTCAACTGGGGAATTTCGAGATGTCGGGAAAGCCTTGGAGCTCATAGGTGGAAGTTTGTCTGATTGGCTAATAAATTCAATTTAATTTTACAGTTTAGAGTACTTTTTAAAAAAACGAAAATTAATTATAATGAAATAAAAAAAGCTGTATAGAAGGTTTCATTAGAGTTGTAGGACTCCATAACCAAAAATAAGATCTAAATCTCGTCCGTTTAAAAAAGGTAGTATAGTAATAACTTCTCAAAACCAACTTATTACTAGTTGATTTTTTTAAACGGACGAGAACTAGATCTTATTTTTGACTACGGTGTCCTACAGCTCTAATGAAACCTTTTATATTGTTTTTTTTTTTTTACTTTATTGTGGTTGGTTTTCGTTTTTTTAAAAGGTACTCTGAACTGTATAAATAATGTATAATTAAATTGAATTTATTAGTCAATCAGACGAACTTCTGCCTATGACCTTGGAGCGGTTCTACGATGAAATAATAGTCTACCTTGTGGGGGTGTAGCTGGAATTGGAGGCTTCGGAAACCTGGATATATAGCAATATCGGGTGCAGACGGTTTTCCCCTTCCACGTGATCGATAGTGAGCTATTATAGGACACGAGAAGATTATAAAACTGATAACAAGACTAAGCGACCCAAAGGAATTTTTCTTACCTAAAGAACCCAAAACAATTATTTGGATCGATGTCAAATTTATATCTGCGTGTATCTTGACGTTTAAAGAAAGTGTCAATTTTTTTCACTGACAAATTCCAGCCTATCTGTATAGGTAAACTATCATACGCATCAATACTAAGACGAACTTAATCCATCTGTGTGAACACTAAAATGAATGTTAGTTACTGGTATGAAAACAAAGTAATTTATGTTTTATGAATAATCTACTTACTATTTTAACCAAAAATGGCTGTCTTTTCCTATCGTTGTGTCCAGTAGAGGGACAATATTGCGAAATGTGTGTTCAATTTCCAGTAAATCATTCTTTCTGATCATTGTTATAGATGTTCCCTTACTTTTTTTCTTTTAAAGACTCTTTTATGCTCTGAAAATTTTTTTCTAGGGACAGAGTTTGTCTGATCATTTTTGGAGATATCATCATTGATTGTATTTTTCGTCATTTTAAGTTAACAGATTAAGGCTACACAATACAAAGGTTATATAAAGCCGCGTTCATATGATCACAAAAAAGTGCGATAGTCACGATTTGTCCAAGGAAAATATATAATTGAATAGCATTAGTTAAGAGATAAGACCCAGCTCTTTAAGTCATCGAAGGATTACTATATAAGGGTCTTCATAATACCATATTTCAATAAGTAATATCCGATTTTTTATCACAAAGTTCTTTTTTTAGTTGATCTCATGCAAACTGTTTTTCAAAATCTTTTGGGTTTTTATGATAGAACTTATTGGAAAATTAATTTTAATTGGTTAGAGTCCACTCTTTATATGGATGCGTGTTATTTTGGGACGTGCATGAATGTTATTTTAAAACTAGACATGGCATTTTCAGGAAGTGTGATTTTCTAAATAATGGCTATGGCTGTTATTATGCGAGAATACAGTAATATGAAAAACGAATCAAAGTTCCAATTATCCGCCAAGGGACATGCTCTTTTTAATGGTTTAATTATTAGTCAAAATGAGATAATTTATTAGAATCCTTATCATTTAATAAATCTAGATTTAACGTTAATGATTAAATTCGGATAATATTATTACCCGTATTTTCATGAAATAAAAGTGTAATTTCGAATTGTGGTTTAATTCGAGTCTTATTTGAAATAACATGCATGCGCATTATTTCGCGAAAATACAGTAATTTTTTATTTATTTTTCAAGTAAGAATTACAGACCTTAAACTAGAACAACTAGTGGTGTATGTATTTCAATCACATTACCTTACAAAAATCACAAACCAATTTTCCGGAGAATGAAGAATAAATTTACAAGTTATAAATTCACTTGTATAGTAATATAATAACTGATACTATTCGAAGTAAAAAAAAAAAATTCTATAGTTTATTAAAGTTGATTTTTTTTTAATTTTCTTTAATAAAAAAAAAAAAAAATTCTATAGTTTATTAAAGTTGATTTTTTTTTTAATTTTCTTTAATAAAAAAAAAAAATTTTTTTTGAACCCCATTTCATTGGAAATAAAAAGTTAACAAAAATATTCACAAGCAGCATGATACCAAACATTAACCCATCTTTTAACAGGATCAACCGTAACGTAACAAAAATTATTAGAGGGAATGTCATCTGTATTTTCATCATTACTTTCAGAAATTGGAAACAATGATGATGATAATAAAGTACCTTGTAAGTTATTTATTTTATAAACATAAGATTGTACCATTAAATTTCCAGTACTTGTATTTCTTTGAACACTAAAATTGAATAATGATACAAATAAATAAAAACATAATAAAGATAAAAAGAAAATTTAAATAAAATTGATTAAAAAATTATAAACATAAATTACCAAATTAAATCTCTATAAATACTCTTGACGACTTCAAAATACTTATCAATCTCATCTTCAAATTGACAAATGTCACCACCAAGGCAAATACTTTGAAGTACATGAAAAATAAACTCATTACGATCATCATCATTGAATAAAGTATAATTTGAAGATTTTGGTAATAAAAAGATCTGACGAAGTTTATCAGTTATTGGAAATGAATTAATATAAATTGGAAAGGATTTTACGATTGCACCAGTTTGACGTAGGATATCTTTGATAACAAATGAATTATATAATTTCAATAAATAAATAAATATTTTTAAATGAAAAAAATAAAATAAGATATTACCAGAATCATATAATCTATCGAAAAAATCCAAACTCGTAACCTGACAAGTCAATCTCTTGTATATTACCAGATCAACAGAACCTTTTATTTCACACCATTTATTCTGACATTGAACCTACCAGGTAATAATCATGATCATCAAATATTGAATGAATAAACATAATATCTGAAGGAATAGTTTACCAGACACTCTTTTCTAAAGAATGGGTTATTAAATAAGTTCTTGAGAAATGTAGATTCATCAGTAGATCGCGGATCAAAGTATTCTTCATAGACAAATCTCTTGACGTAACTATGATGTTTCATACCCCTTTATTAACAAGCATTTATAATAGATATAAAAATGGGAACAAAAGTTATTAGTAAAAAGTCAAATAATTAAATTTTTACTATGAATTACAGTCAAACCTCCCCAAATGCGAATTGTAGGGACCAACTTTTGACAATGAGCATTTAAAGAACAATAAGAAAAACTCATTTAGAGGGTCAAGTATAATTGGGCCGAAGTTTAAGGCAGCATTTAGGGGGTTGTCTGACTGTAGATGATAATAGTAACATTTAAATATATTTATCATGTTTAATAAAACATTTCAGCCAAAAAAAAACACCTTTCTGCCAATGAGTGTAAGTACCATTTGTCTAATAAATACTGGACATTGGTAGAATAATAACCATCGATTATGGATGCACAATGGTATTTAAAGCGAAAGACAGGTTCTTGTTCTGGTGAAGTAGCTCTATTAACAGCTTCGGAAGTGTTTGAGGAGCATTCTTCAGAAGAAACAATTGGATTTGAGTGTTCAATGGAAGAGGAAACTTCCGACATGTTTGAAGAATACTTAAATCTCATCAGATAAGATACTCGACAGATATTCATTGGCTAGCATAGTTACACGAATCCGTAACCAGGATTCGTCACAAAATCTCATACCAACTGCTAAATATTTACATATATTATACTTCCGTACGAGTACGAGTATCAAAACTTTGCACAAATTGTCAAGACACTAACTAAACTAACAATGATCGAATATTCTGTGCAAAGTTATGAGAGAATTTAGTGAATTTGTGTAAATTGTGCGCATAACAAACAGATAACCGATCTGTAAAAAAAAATTACGTAAAAAAAAAACATCGCCATTTTAGAGGACTAAGCGGAATTGGACCTTTTGACTTTCGTAATCAACGTGATTATTAAATTCCGTAAATTCAATATAAATATATTACAAAAAAGTATTAGATTTGTGATTTGAATAAAGGAACAAATTTCCAATCTTCCAAATTAGTATATGCGCATTTTATTATATACATACTAACGCACATTCAGTACATGTGTATTTTTAGAATATTGCTAATTTTAGAAACTGTAACACAATTTTAATACACCAAATCAATTTATCTTAAATTGGCGTCAACGTTAGGATATTTTTTCCCGATTAACCAAACTGTAATTACATAAATCGCAGCACTTCATTAATTTTCGCCTGTATTTGGATATGCAGTGTCACTTTCATGATATAAGTCTAAAAATGTTAAAATGTAATATAGAGACTAGGAGGATGCGTAGTGATGGCTGCTGTGACTACTATGACAGTAAAAGTAAAGGGCTACATAAGCGGGCCGAATCCAGAAAAGCTTGCCAAAAAAAAAAGAAGTGAAATAGAGCTTTACGTTGCGGCCCGAAGCGGGACGGCAAAAAATCTTTATGCCCATGCAGGCCCTTAAGTGACACCAAAAACAAAGCCAAAACGAAAAAGTGATAAAAGCTGAATTTTTCTGCAGATGAAACTACTTGGGATTCTGTCCTCCTTTTTACTTAAAAAAAAACTATAAAAGTCCTTTAGCCCATTTATTCTAAAACAAAAAAAATAAAAAAAATTTCAATAAACACAATTAATTTATTTTATTAAATTCTAAAAGATGACATTTTCTAGTTCAAGTTTTAAATGGAAACACTTAATCGTGTTAATAATTTTTATCGCTTTCGTTACGATTTGTAGTGGTTCTGGACACGTGATTAAAAAGCGACAAGCTACAGGTAAAAATCAGCCAGCTCCATCACCACAAGCACCAGCACCACAAGCACCAGCACCAGCTCCACAAGCACCAGCTCCACAGGCTCCAACGCAAGCACCACAAGCGCCACCAGCTCAACAATCACAACCAGCTCAACAACCACAACCGCAACCAGCTCAACCAACACAAGCATCTCCACAAGGACCAACACAAGCATCTCCGCAAGGACCAACACAGCCAGCTCAGCAACCAGCTCAACCATCACAAGCATCTCCGCAAGGGCCAACACAGCCAGCTCAACAACCACCTCAACAACCAACTCAGGCACAGCCGGCACCACAAGGACAAGGACAAACACAGCCAGCTCAACAACCACAACCAGCTCAAACACAAACACAAGGAGGTACCCACCAATCTGCAAACGGTAATGATCAAAAAAGTACATCATTATCGTTTGTAGCTAATGATTTTACAATTAATTCTTGTACTGACACCTTAAAATGTCCCAAAGAAAACGTTGGGACTACTGACAAACATATACCTTCAACCACAGCGCCAAAAGTGACTAGTGAATTCACTACTACTTATAATGTTTGTACTGACAATACCAATTGTAAAGTTGTCCCAATAACTCCTGGGTAAGGATTTTTACAAATATTTTAATTATTTATTAAGTATTATTTACTAATCACTAATCTTAATACATTATAATTATAATTATTATAAATATTATAATAATAATCATTATTATTATTATTATTTATAATCAAAAGTCAAACTGTAAAAATGGTCACGACTACTCAACCAGCGGACCCTACTATTGTCACCATACCACCGGCGAACGGAGCCACACCTAAACCTAACGCGAAATTTACAACATTTAAATTTCTATCAACTGAGTATCAAGTATATCCAGGCTTTTCAACAGTTACCACAATGACTGGTACTGATGGACAAGTAGCAACATATGAGACCTATGTTCCACCAAGTACTGTTGTTGTAGTAAAAGAGGTTACTGGTGTTCAAGCGGCTGATTCATTAAGTACTGATGGAATTGTTGGTGGTGGAAATAGTTTTAATGAAATGAGAAGATCTGGATCTGGACTATTAGGTATTATTATGAGTTTGTGGGTGGTTACAATTACTTTAGTTTATATGATTAAAAATGTAGATTAAACATTTCTTAATTACATATATATATGTTAAAAATTATTATGTAAGATCTATATTGATCGTTATATATTAATTTATTACTTTAGTAGTAGTAGCATTTATAATGATCTATAATTATTAAGAGAAAAATAAAATAAAATAAAATAAAATAATAATAATATAATAATATTATTACGTTCTTATCACATTAGCCGTCAATTCGTACATATATATTTAAAGTTTGAAGATCTTGAATCTTGTTAAAACGTGTGACAGTTTCAACCATTCAATCATGTAATACAGTAATTTTTGTGCATAACATTGAACACTGAACACTGAACACTGCATTTAATATACATTATCCAATATCAATATTATTATTAAAAGAAACTAATTTCTTATTGGTAGTTGTGACTCCTTGCCAAGAAGTGTTTGAAGTCATTGTTTATTCTGAAAAAAATAAAAAAATGATCTGTAGAATAAATATATATATTATTATCATAGTTGAAACCAAAATTTTAGCCAAAAATTACAATAATATGTATATACAATAGAAATCGATATATTGTTTTTATATGATCTTGCCTGGGTTACATTTTCACGAGTTATATCCTAGTTATATCCAGAAATGGGCAAGGTAATTTTACTCTTTGCGTAAAAGTTAAATCACACTATGTGATAATTTACTAACAATATATACTCACAACTAATAACATACTAAATTGTCGCATATAGTGATTTTACTTTACGTTAATAATTAAATTATCTTTCCATCTATTATGTCTCCATATTTAGGTTATAGAATAAAATTTTTTTATTACACATACTTATGTCCCAACCTTAGTAATACCCCCTAAAAAATTGAAAACCGTATTGAGAAAAAAAGGGGTGAGACAACTCAGGTATGAATATATATCTAAATTTAGTTATTTGCATTTATAGAGATAATTACTTTTTCATAATCTATTGTGACTGAGAATCTTTTTATTCCATATGTGCGGTTTAATATGTGACCTTGTAAAGGATCCCAAGTTAATGACATTATATTTTACAACTGTTCATTATTGATAATAAGAACAATTATGAACTCTGTCGTTAGGAAGAGATCAATCTTTCTTCTTACATAGAGGAATTTACATATATGAAATAGGGAAATATATTGGTATTATAATGCATGAAGCTCAATAACATCGTGACCACCAATAACACTATGTCCATCCATCAATCTTCTAAAAATAATGGAATTAATAACAATAATTGCAAATCTCTTATTGTCCATGCCAATAATACTAATAATACTAATAATACTATCAATACTATCAACATTAGAATTCAGGCTAACTGAAGACGGTCTATCCAAAAAATTATGATCATAGCTCAAATGCCAACACTGTATGCGATCCATTTCTACTTGTCGTCAATATCACTAATCACACGGTGAGATAATCACATAATTTCGTCTACTTTACTGAATACTTGTTATATATAACTTGTATATGTACTAAGATACATTAGCATCATGCGTATCGGTATGTGCGATTATTATATCTAATCAAGCAATTTTTTATTGGTAATGACACGCGTGCGAACAGAAAGACAGACATTGCATGTTTTCGAGAAATATGTAGTCCACTACTACGCTTCGGATAATATTTGAAAAGCAATGCAATGTCTGTTTGTCGTACGCAATAAAATTTCTCGATTAGATTTGTAATGTAGTTTATCAACCGAATCATTCGATCTGATATAACATGAATATGATTGGTTAAGATTTTTAGTGTTGGTTTTTAAACTAATCTAAACTAGATTCATTTTTTAAGGTAAAATGTTTAATAAGAAGATGAACAACTAATACTAAAAAAAAAAAAAAAACGAGTTGATTATGTTCTATTTAGCATCGACATCGACATCGTACCTGAAGTCCTTCCGTATTTGTTAAGATTCGTGTGTACTTTAGGTGAAAAGAGATTTACTGATGTGGACTACCTTTAATTATTATCTTGCTAAAAATGACATAGAAATAATTAAAAAGCTTGATAAAAATGTATTAGCTCATATTTGATGTCGAACTTAATATGTAAAAGAAATTATATATTTATACATGACTTTTCGTTTTTAAGAATTAGGATTCTTAGTATGTACGAAAATACCGTTCATATTCAATTTTTCTTCCTATTTTAGAAGATAGACTAACTAATAATGTTTTATTTGCAGAATGCATTAATAACGATCATTCGATAGTTACTGCTACCTCTCAAAACATTGAAGACATGTCCGAAATATCTGTTTTGCTATGCCAAGAATCAACTGCAGTATTTCTAAAGATTTTTTTCAATGACGACAACGACTTATGATGCATAATAAATCGCACGACATTAGATTACATGATGTTCTGATAGTTTATGATTATTAAGGGTGGTCCGCAGTTAAAGGGCATAAATTTCATGCTATTTGCCTAATACTGTATTTTAAATAAATTAATGTCGAAATTCTAAAATAGTGTCTAAATTTCTAAATAAATATACAGTCTGTAAGTACACACCCTCTGTAAGGTCAAATTCTGACCTAAATATACGCATACATTTATAAATGCACTTTTTCTTATTATTCTCTAAGTAATTTTATAGTTCAGATAACTCTATGTACGATAGTAAATTTTTTTAATTAAGCAATGAGTTCTTAGTGGAATAAAACTTGTTCTTAATCGTTAACACGTATTAAAGAAAGTGAAATTATGAGGAAGGTTTATTTCTTTACCTAATTTTTTTAAACAAATGTTATTGATGTCAATAACATGTATATTTCTTAAAAGTTTTGCTCTTTACAAACATTTAGTTTCAACACTTATTCAACACTAAGAAATATGGATAACTGTTTTTTAATACAGTAATATATTCAGGACTCAACATAATAATAAACACTAATTTTTTTTATAAACAATTTGACAAGTTATACTCATCACATTGACTAATCCTGAAGTGATTATGAGGAGGTCAAAATAAATTTGAGTATGGATAAATATTATTAAATACTAGTGATGTTGATGCTGCAAATGATAAAACTGTTAAAATAAAAGCAATATCAGTAAATATACTATTAATTTTTTTTATTAATACCAGTTCTAATAGTGGTGGTAGATCGCGAGTTATTGGCATTTTCTCCTTTATAACTATATGACTTTTACATATTTCCGGAAAACTTTCGGCATTCCAACATTATATGAATGTAATAGTAATTATCTGCCGATTTTTACTGACATTTGTACCCTTCAACTGCGATCTACCACTTAAACGTGATTGAAAAAAACCCCAAATCCAACACATACACGGGTTTTAAATTATTTTTGAAAAAAGTAATTTCATCAAAAATTTCGCCATTGCTCATAAATTAAATTAATTTCACCAACTATCAAAAACTAATTTCGAAAGATTAATTGTCAAAATGTCGAAATAATGATTTAAGAGAAGTAATTTAGTTAACTATGTATAGAAGACATGGAATAGGCGTAAATCGAATACTTTTTGTTTCGATAGTTTTAAAGTCTTCGTTTTAATTCAGTAATTGATGCAGTGTGAGTAAAAAAAAATTATACATATGAGTGCTGTCAAGAAAAAACCTGTCATCGGGCTTTTCAATCTTATCTTGTCCCAGGCGCAATCAAAATACAGAAATAGATTGAGTCCGGCACAAAATATATTTGAAAACCCGATGACAGGTTTTCTCTTGACAGCACTCATATATATATAGCGAGAATTAAATAAAAATGCAATTTGTATATTACTTTATTAAAAAACAAAAATTTATATCGATAAGCTATTACGTAGCATCAATCTCCGAAATCTGATATTTAATTTTAAATCCCGACATGTAACTGACTTTTGGGCGACGCTAGGGAGGTTAAAACTCGACTGATAACTAAGTTATTCGACATGTCCTATGTGAATACCAAACGATTTCTATGTAGCTTCCTTCTAATACTACACTCACCTCTTAAGAGGTGATATTTGTATTAGGTGGCCGAATAATTACACAAAAATTCTTTGGTATTCACATAGGACATGTTGGATAAATATGAGTTAACTAAAAAAACTAACTTTATAACTTCGTTCTTTACTATTTTATAAAGAGGTTTTAAAGATCATGTATTTTAATCGTTAACGTTAAGAATTCCTGAACTGTATCGCACAAATAGTAAATTGGGTAATCAGTCACATGACCAAATTATTTGGCGAAATTAAAATTAAAATCTCTCGATACGTGTGCGTACTGTACGTGCATACGTACTTACGTACATATTTTTCGATTTCACGTGCTATCTCCAAACCATAATTTTTTATTAGCAGTGGCAATGGCGATAAGACGTGTTGGGGCACGTCCACGTAATCTAGATAATGAACTTCCTCCTTTGATACCTGTCAATATTTGTTCAGCTCATCAACAAAGACTTATCGTTTCGGCAATATTTTGTGCAATACTAGCGTTTAAAGGATATTATTACATTCATTCTAATGAGGCGGTGTCACTGCTTGGAATATTAACAACATGGTGCATTTTGGACGCCTTGTTTTTCATGGGTTTATATATATTTCGAGTACCATGGCTTCAAAAATCCTTATGGTTCTGGGTATTCTGTTTCTTCGGTTCGCTTGTGATCAATGCAACTATGCTTCAGCCTCGTTGGGTAAATCATATCTAGTTTCATTTTCGAATTTTCAACCTTTTACGCGTCTAATTATCCAATCTCTTCTATTTCAACTATTCATTAAAAGATTTATGATGTCGGTTTATCAAAGCACATATTAGATTTATTAAATTCATTTTATTTGATTAGTAGGTTCAAAATTTTCATTATTGATTTGATTCAATATTTTATCAATAGTAATTTAATAGAATTTATTGTTTTATATTGATTGATAGTTGCAATTTATTAATTTAATTTAACAATTAGTACGGAATCAATATATCCGATTAAAAGGCGAGAAAGTCCGTGCAATCAGTAAAGAAGAAGATATTTTAATTGATGGTATTATATTTAAATCATTAATTACTATACTATTATATTATACTATTACATTATTACAAGTATTAACAATTTTTATTTTTAAAATTTATAGTTGTAAGATATAATAAATCTCACATAGTTGGCAAGCATAGTGTTCGCCTTTTACCTTTTGCTACTGCCAAATTAAATCCGGATGATGATAAGCTATGTTTACCAAGATCAAATTCTAAAAAAAAACCTGCAATTAAATTATTAATTTTATTCAATAAAACTTCTCCAAATTCAATTCGTTATTCAAGATTGGATTTTGAAACTGGTGAAAGAACTATGCATGATGTTTATTCAAAAGAGATCGAAAAACATCGTATGACTGATGTGGTTCATGGTGATCATTTAGAATATGTAAATATTCCAGTTAATCAGCCAGGTGTATATCAACTTGAAGAAGCATTAGATCATGATGGAATGGGAATAAAGATATATAAGAGAGATATAACTATAGTTTATTGTCCAATGGCAAAATTTGTATTAAAATCAGGTGCAAATCTATGCGTTGAGGATGAAATACATGTTGACCTAATGTTACAAGGTGTACCTCCTTTAAGTGTAATCTATGAAAGAAGAATAAATAATTATGCACTTAATATGACTATAGACAGTATCGGTCCTGAACATTATATCTCTCCTCCAATTAGATCAGATCAAGAAGCTGCAATGTTGGCATCATCTGGAAATTATCTGTGGGCTCGTGATCAATTAACCGAGGTTCGGTTGAATCTTTCTGCTGAATTCGTTGCAGATTATTGGTTGAAAGTTTTACAACTTCAAGATGTATTAAATAATACAGTTATTTATAAAAATGATCAAGATACAAATGTTAATGTTAGGTTTTCTGTTTACACACGACCCACCGCAAGTTTTTTTTCTGACTCTTCAATATATATTCGTCCTAAACAATCTGCTAAAATTCCATTAGACTTACAAGGACAAGGTAAGTATCAAATGTTAATTATTTTAATATTCAAATATGTAATAATTTATCAATCAAATTTATTTCTATAATTAGAACCATGGAATGTTAAAATTGGGTATTGGCCTGAGGACATTGCTGAAAGTGATGATTCAGTCATCCAACCAATAGAAGTGCTTGATATGATTATAAATAACCCAGACACAGAAAATACGATTAAAGTACAAAAACCTGGAATGTACAGGCTTCTTTCAGTAATAGATTCCAAATGTTCTGGCCAAATTTTAGCTCCTTCCTTTAAGAATGTGATTCTCGCTCATCCACCAACCGTCAAGTTAGAAGTCAGTCCTATACCCGCTGATGATTGTCCTGGAGAAGTGGGTGTTGAAGTAATCCTTTCATTAACTGGAATTCAGCCATGGTAAGCTTTGATTATAATATAATTGATCTCTAAAACATTCATAACTTTATACATTAAACAATATTTGATTAGGCATATCGAATATTCAATAATCTCTCAAAATAAAGAAAAAAAAGAATATGTAAAAATTGAAAAGTCAAGACATTCAATGATTATTAAGCCAACTGCTTCAGGACAATACGAATATAGATTTTTTCGTTTGACAGATTCCATTTATCGTGAAGGTGTTAAAATAGATCATAAATTCTCTCAAACTGTACATCCGAAACCCAATGCTGCCTTTAAAGATTTGAAAAATCGACTTTTGAATGGTTGTGTTGGAAGTCGCATCGACTTGGAAGTAGAACTTACAGGAACTGGTCCATTCACGTTAATGTAAGTGTATTATAATATTTCATTACTGACTTATTGTATGGTTAAGTTTCTTACCAAGAAATTTTATTTATGACAGATACGAAGTAGTATTTAATAGAAGGATTAACGCGTTCACAATTGCTGATATCCGAGGCTCAACTTATGTTGTCACATCTCCACCTTTTGATAATCCAGGCTTATATACTGTAACTCTAGTGAAAATTACTGATTCAAAAGGGTGTAACCAAATCTTAAATTCTTCAGATTATGTCACTATTAACGTTAAAAAAGATAAACCAACTGCTGGATTTAGACATTCACATGAAATTATCATGTTCCTTGAAGGAAGTAATGTTAATTTACCTTTACAATTAACTGGTCATGCACCTTGGAATATTTCTTATCGCTATCACGGTGACTTTGAAAAGGTTGAAAGAAAATCAGAGATCGCAGATCCAAACTCATTCTTAACCGTGTCGGAACAAGGAATTTACGAATTATTAGAAGTTAAAGATTCCTTTTGCTATGGTAGGATAATTCCCGAAATGAAAGAAGCTGAGGCGAGATGGCTGCCACGACCATCATTGAGAATAGCAGAAGGTGATGCGGAACCATTGCCTCAAAAAGGACATTATCGTCGTAGAAATGTTTGTGAAGGATCCGAAGATTCGGTTGGTTTAGTTATGGAAGGTCGAGCGCCATGGGAAATATATTATAGCATAATCACAAGTGAAGAAGAATTAACACGACATCAAACCGTTGGATACACAACAACTAAAATACGGCTTATGACAAATCAAGCTGGAAAGCACCTATATAATTTCACTAGTATTGCTGATGATGTTTACATTGAACCAAGTCCAATATTATTAACTCTTGAACAAACCGTTAACGCTAAACCAATTGCTCGATTTCTCTCAACTGATATAATATTTCATTGTGTTGATGTTCCATTCACAGATAAAGATATTAAGATCCAGTTAAATGGTACACCACCTTTTAGTTTAACGTTTGAAGTTACTCAGGAAAGTAGCAATAAGATGGAAACCCTAAAGATCGAAGAAATTTATGAATCCATATATAATTTTCATCCATCAACAAGATTTGCAAAGATTGGAAATTATACTATATCAATAGTTCATATAGTTGATTCTCAGGGTTGTAACAATGCATTACAAGGACCAAATAATAAAATATCTATTCAAGTTACTGATGTGGCTTCAATCGATCGAACGTTCCAACAGCAAATCCATTGCGTTGGAGATTTACTTGTTTATAAGTTACAAGGTATTTAAATAACACTAATCTTCTTTATAATTTATAATTACATTAACTTATTTAAATATATTTATTTAAGGCATGCTTCCATGTAACATTACTCGTGAATATAATGGAGAAATACTACATACAATTTCAAAAACCCACATGTACACTTTCGGGGCAGACAAACCTGGAAATATGACAATAACCAAAGTTTGTCATCAAGGAAATCAATGTTGTGGATATGTGTCAAATTTAACAGAGATTATCTATGATCTTCCAACTGCTATTGTCTCTGAAGGCAAAGATATTATATCGGATATTAGAGAAGGAGACAAAACTGAAATTATCGTCAATTTTATTGGTAAATTGTCTTTTAATTGTTTAAATTTTCAATAATAGCTAATATAATAAAAATTAACGTTTATGTTTTCAATTTAACACACGTTAAATTTTGAAGGTACTCCACCTTTCGAGTTTACCTATACTAGAAGCGAGTTATTGATTAATGAAAAAAAAGAACGTAAACCAGGTCGTATTCTTGAAACTCATACTGTTCTCAATATTCATCAATATCAGCATTCAATTTTTACTTCACAACAAGGTATTTTAAAATATATATTTTAATTATCATTAGATCTTATGAAAACAAATTTGATTTTATGGTTATTTTTTGTAGGTGTATTCCAAGTAATCCGTGTAAAAGATCGATATTGTGAGTATCCACCTCGTTCATATAGAAGATAAAGATTTTGGAAGTTAGTACTTATATATACATAGTAGTACCAAAAAACCTAGTAAACTATCTTAAAATAGAATAGATACAGAATTAAGTTTTACAATAATTGATATATTTTGTTGATATAGTAAATTGGGGTTAAAGCGTTGTCTTAAATATTAAATATAGCATCTATCGTTTTATATGATTAACAGAATAATTATATTCATAGTGGAATTAAGATAGTTGATTATTTACAATAGTCTAGTAAGAAAAAGCCAGTGTAGTTGATATCTGGCAGATGTTTTATCAGATTATTGGAACCAAAAGCGCATATATACATATTTCTGAAAGAGCGCAGGGTTCTTATACAAATAATAAATACATGTAAATATATTCTTTAAAGTTTGTTCGACCTTTAATTTAAAATTTGACGAGTTAAAAAAGGTTTTATTAACAATAGGCAATAGGTTTTAATTACGATATTCACATGACTAGATAATTTGCACCATATTATAAAATCAGAATGTAGTTATTTCATGGTATAGGCATGATCGCATTAAAAAACATGAGTAACAAATGTTCAAATAGATTCATGCAAAGAAATTTCTTATAAGATTAAATCTTAATATATAACACTTGCCCATGCTTACTATGACTATTGATGTAATTAGAACATACCCAAAAATATTGAAACAAATGTAATACATAATATAGCATTTCTTTATTTAAATTTTCTCATTGCTTTTACATAGGGTTCCACATTCATACATTCATGGATTAGTTTTTTCATAGCATTTACGATTTCTTTTTTTACTTTAATTTTGTAGGTTACGCTATTATAGGCAATCTTTAGATCAATTAGATATTTTGGTTTACTGGTAAATTTTGTGCATAATTTGATTACACAATAAATTAATATTTATTTTATAAATTTATTTTTTATAAAATTTTAATTTAGCTTATAGTTATTTAAATATATTTAGTTAATATTTGTTTAATATTAAAAAAGTTCTAACTCAAGAATTCAAATTATAGTTCAGATGCTCTAGATATCTCAAAACACTTTAATATAATGAAACAATTAATTTTAATTAGATAATATTTAATTTTTAAATTGTAGTATTTATTATAAAATTACTATCCTTTTTTCATATTTTACTATAGCTATTTTTAGTTACATTTGTAAAAAGATTTCTAAACATTAAATTACTATATAAAATTTTGTAGATCAATATAAGTGTTTTATAATAATATGTATTTTATTTTTAGTTAATATATAAATTATCATATAATAGAATACTAAATATTAGTAAAATAACAAAACTTAATATTGCTTGTCAAGTTTTACAATAACAATCATAAATAATGCAACAAAAAAAATTTAGTTGGATCATATTATTTTGCACAATTTTAAAATTTATTTGTGAATAGTAATATTTTTATTAATAAAAAATTTTTAAAAAAATAATGAACAAAATTTTTTATAGACACAAGCTTTATTTAATTTCATAGGTTGCATTATTTTTGCTTGTTTTTACAGCAACATAATTATAAAACAAAAAAATTTTTATATTAAAAAAAAATATTTTTTTTATTATCTAATATTTTTTAGTCTTTACTATCTGGTATAGTTGTTCCAGATCTAATTACATTATAAATTCATTCTGACATTGAATAAACTAACTTTGTACAGAATTCAATATCAATCACCTATTAGACTACTTGGATCTTTTTTTAAAAGTCTTTTTTACTTAAAAAGATCTCTAAGATAACAATCAACTTCATATCACAAGTGTTTAATTGAAATAAAGTTAGAGAATTAGAAGGTTAATCAAAGAACTTAATTTTGTTTCTTTTAAGCCAATATTTTATTAAGGTTGCTATATAACAAAACATACTATTTTGTTAAAACATGATCTTTTTAATATTAAAATTGTGATTTCTAATAGTTCACATTAAATTTTTATAAAGTATTTTTTAGTATAACTTGTCTTTTTGATATAACCTACTATTTATTATACCATCAACCTTATAATAGCTACCAACATTATATAAGATAAAGCAACCCTAAATTATAATTAATCTATAGTTAAATTTTACTATAAATTTAATATAAAAGTAGTTTAATAATTTTCTATAATGCTTTTAATAGTATTGCTTCATATCTGACTTAAAAATTAGAAATTGTGACTTGTCAGATCAAATTATTTTAGATTAATCTTCAATAGTCTAATTTTAATATTTTTTTATAAATTTAAGATATTGTTTTCAATAACTATCACTTAGATACAGTTTTTTTTTTAATTTCTAATACCAAACTATGCTTATAAAGTATATGACAAATAGTTAGTACTAAAATTTCTATATTTTCATTTACTTTGAAATGTGTTCTTATTTTAATAACAGTAGAATAATAGTAGAAGATAATAAGATTTACTATTTTTCTCTAAGTTGGTTTATCTAATAAAATTAAATAACAAACTCTTTCTAAATCTTGAAAAGAATGGTTTGTTAACCATCATTTTTTAATATATAAGATTATAAAATAACTAATATTGCAGTTCTAATTTATGGCTCTTATAATGTATCTTTTCTAAAATAAAAACAATATTTGAACTTATTAGGCAAATGTTATTCAGTTTTTTTTTTTGTTTTTTTGATTATCAATAAGTATTAACATTATACAAAATACAAAATAAAAAAAAATTTATATATTTATATTTATTTATATAGTACAAATTGAGCTATCTATTCTTTATAAAAAATAATTAAAAATAATGCAATACATATTCCATAATATATATATAATTATTTTTGATTTGACAAAATTAATGTCTACTTAAATTCTAAAAATTTTTTTTAAAAAAATGTTATTTGCATATAAAATAAAAAAAAATAGACAGATACTCCTAGAATTACACAAGATAATATAATCTAACTAAAATTTTTTTTTGTTATATTATTAATAATTATCACTATATTGATATAATTGCCTATTATACTTGAAATTTCTAAATTATTAAACATTTTATATATTTAAATAATCTATAGTAATTATATAATATATAATAATTTTAAAACCAATTAATCATTAGATTAAAAACTATAAAAAATTTTATTTTTTATTTTTTTAAAAAAACATGTTTTTTTATTTTAATTTTTTTAATAAAATAATATTTTATTTATTTTATTTTTGATATTATTAATAAAAATTATTCTTTATTTTATTCTTTAATATATTTTTCTTAAAATAATATAAAGTAAAAAATTATTTTTTTTTAAATAATATTTTAATAAAATACTGTAATAAAATTTACTAAAAACTAGCAAGCTATAGTAAACTTTAAATAACATAAGTGCTAAATAAAAGATTTTTTATTTAAATATATAATAATATATAAAAAAAATTCCATTACATATTTTTCTTTTTAAAATATAAATATATATAATTATTTAAAGTCATTATAATAATTTATTTTTGGATTTTATTATCAATATTTTAAAAGATTCTATTAGCTAATCTAATTATAAATAAGACTTTAAACTTTAATTTTATTTTATTAATAAATTATTATACTAAATTTCTATATTTAGTTATTTGTTTGTTAATAATTAAATAATTATAATAATTTATTATTTTAAGTTTAATAATAATAAACTTAAATTTTTTATCTAAAACCTTTTAAATTATTTAAGAAATTTAGTATTAAAAATGATTAAATTGATTAGATTATAGTAGTTTGTTTTAGAAAAATAATTATTAATTATTCTAAAAAATTTTATAATTATTTTTTTGCTATAAAACTAACTGATTTTTTATTTATCTTTTATTAACATCTATATAATTAATCTTAAAAAATTATTATTTTTTATTTTTTTTCTATTTTTTTATTTATAATTATTATATTAGTTTATAGAGAAACTTTAGCTTTTTTATTGAATTACTTAAAATTTTTTCTTTTTTTTTATTTCTTGAATCTTAGATTAAAGCAAAAAAGATCATAGTTTAATATTTAATATTATGTAGTTAGTTTTTTCTATTTTTTATATACACATCCTTTTTGTTTCTTTATTATAACAAAAATATTTGTTACTTTATTATTATACTTTTTTCTTTTTTATAAAAATATTAATAATTTTTATATTTTTTTATAACAAAAATGTTTTTAAAAAATACAGTTTTATATTATTTAATCTTTAAATTCTTTTTTTATTCTTAACAATTCTAACATCTTCTGTTAAAATTTGTTAATATATTTTAGTTTTCTTCAAAATAACATTGCAGTAATTCAAAGTTTCTTAGTTTGACTAAAGAAAAAAACTAAAAAATATATAAGTAATTTCAATTATTTAAATCATGCTTTTTCCTAAACTAAACTAAATAATGCATATACAGAATTAAAAAAAAATTTACAAAAAAAGCTGCTTCAATAAATCAACAATTATAAAAAACATATATATAAAATAAAGTATAAAAATCTTCATCTGAGTTTTATAAATAATAATAATAGTAAAATAAATAAATCTTTTTTTATAATAAACAAAAATAACAAATTACAACTAAACATACTTAGAATATTATAATTAAATAATTACAAATAACTTGTAATAATAACAAGAGACAAAGCTATTAATAATTTAAATGAAGTAGAAAAACAGCTTTCTGCATTTCAGTTCTTTTTACAATCTTGTTGCTGACTATATTGGCAACTAAAATAAACAACAATAACAATAAAAAGAATAACAACAAAACATATATAGCTAAAACTCAAAAAAAAGAATATAACTTGTTTATATATATATTGACAACAATAAAATAATAGATAAACAAAATAAAGAAAAAAAATACAAAACTAATTACAATGTTATTATTTCTGTTTAAGCAAATACTAAAAAAAATATAACAAAAGAAATTTCTAAAACAAAAAGAAATTTAAGCTTACTTCTGAATTTTAAGACATAATATTATTAGTAAAAATGAAAACAACATTAAATTTAATTTTGAATCTATATTAATTAATAGGAA